GGGGGGGGGGTCTAAATGTATAGTACTAGTAATATATTCTGTATATATAGAGAGAGAAAGAAGAAAGAGAGAGAGAGAGATCCCAGATAAGAAATCTATCTCACACAAACAAACGACCTTCTAAGAACAACAGTGACATGAAATTTGTCAACATCTGTTCTCTTTGCATTCTCTGTTTTTTTTTTCTTCACCTCTCTCTATAGATTTGAGGAAATGAAGGAAATGATGATTTCTATAGATTCTCTCCACCCTCCTTGCTTTTCGTACAGATATTAATGAAAATTAATATATACCCATATTATAACATTGTTTTTATGTTCTATTTGGCTGTCTAATAGCCAAACACTAATTGCTTCTTAGAAGTGTTTTCAAATTACGGTTCCTCGTTAAAAGTGCTTTTGAAAAAAATATTTTTTAAAAAAATCATTTTTTAAAATAAGCTGACTTTGCAGCTTGGCCAAACAGGCATAAATAGTACTCCCTGTGTTCACTTTTACTTGTCCACTATTTTAAATATAGATTTTCACTTTTACTTGTCCACTTTCGCATATCAAGAGAAAAATAATTTATTTTTTCTGTTTTGCCCTTAGCATTAATTACTTATTCCAAATTATTTTTCAAATCCATTAAGACTATACACCAATTAATATGCGTATCATGGTAAATTATGCACTTCATTTATTACTTCTTAAGGGGTGTGCAAAGTCAATAGTAGAGAAGTAAAAGTGAATGGATGGAGTATTTCCTCAGTTCACTTTTGATTTTGCACTACCTTTAAGAAAAAATAAATGTATGTATTTTACAATTTTACCCATTATAATAATAGCATTTCAAAAATCTTGAAAAATAATTTAGAAAATTAGTAGTTAATGATAAAGGTAAAATAAGAAAGAAGATTGTATTTCTCTTGATTTGCTAAAGGACAAGTAAGAATGAAAATATATTTTTAATATAAGGGACAGGTAAAAATAAACGGAGGAAGTGATTTAGGACTCAAGTGCTCGACTAATTATTTTCGTTTTGGGTCTCGACTAAATTCACATTATTAATCTGAAAGCTATAATTAAATATGAAAATATCTTATTAGTCCCACCACAAACCCTTGACGGTTATTATAACGTTGTCCAATTCTATTATTGCTGGCTTTACTTGTGCATTTTTGCGTGTGCTAAAGCTCGTGTTGTTTTTAAAAAATGTTTTTTTAAATGTATTTGATGCATCTTAATTTCAGAGAATGAAAGTTATTTTTTGGAGAGAAAACTTTCCAAACTGATGAAGTACTGCATATAAATTTTTATTACCTAACTATCACTTTAATTTAGTTAAGTATTTCGTGTGTATTTTTACTTTAATTTGTGACTTTAAAGTTAAATTAATTTTTCATTCCATTCTCTTTGGAGTTTGTGTGTTGAAAATCAAATTCACTAAGTACACTGTATAGGTCCAAATTTGGCGAATCGTCGGTAACGGATAAGCAAGACAAAGGACGGGATCGACCATGATATAACGACTGAAGGTTGCTCTCACAACGGTCGGTGCCAAAAGCGGGCAGCCGAGGAGAGACAATAATGGTAGAATAGGTTCAGAGGTGGATATAAAGAATATTCCTTTAGATATTCTTTATGTTGTACTTTTAGGGTTTTTGGGGAATAACCCTTATAAGTAGGAAGAGGTAGAAAACAAAAGAGTATTCTTCTTCACTCTCTGATAAGAACATATTGTAAAGGCTGACAAAAGGGAATATCCAAAAGTTGTCTTGTTCGTTGATAATATTATTGAGTCACACGTTGTTCAATCTTTATCCATAGATCCAAGGACATCACACCCATCTTGACTTCTCATCACTTTTCCACGTCGCTGACGCATGAAAGAAACATCCCAACCATATAATAATTGGGTGGTAGATCTTTTCTTATTACATTCATTGCCATTATTTGCATTTATCACACATTCATGCTATCATATTTATTATCAATCATAGAATATTAAATCCGTTATTTAATGCTCTTGAACAGTACTCATCTCACGAGTATTCCATTTTATTTGATCTAGAATTTATTAAATTCAACTAAGATTCGCCCTTCAACTCATCTTTAATTGGTATAGTTAAAAGGTTTAGCACTTTTTTGCTCAAACATACACGCCTGCTTGACCTTTAACAGGTAACAACAATCAACTCATCTTTAATTGGTATACTATTATTCTTTAATTTTGTTTGCATTTTCCATTTTAATTATTGTTTAATTGGTTGACCAGGGGTAGTTCAGTGATTAAGAGACTAAAGTATTAACCCTAAAATATATTTCCACTATTGTACAACAATAATAAGTCGAGGACAGAGCTAAGTGGGCGGGAGGGAGTTCAGTTGAACATCCTTCCTCCGAAAATTATATTGTGCACATAAAGTTAAATCCTTTTTTATATACATATATTAGATGTCGAATCTCCTTTCTTCACGTATTTATTTCTTAATTTTTTGAATTTTTGGTGAAAATTCTATATCCGCCACAATAAGTAGTTAGACATATTCCGCAAGAAGTTAATTTGACTTATACAATACTAGATATAGTGGGGGAAAAGACAGTATTCCTTTCAGTTTTCATCTTATAGAAGAGCATACCACGTTACATTTACTATGTTATAAAATGATTTAAACAATATCAAGACATTTTAGTTTAAAGTGACATGAGGGAGCAGTATTATTATTTTAATTTAATTGGCTAAATGCATATGTAGAGTTTTATGACAACAGACAAAAGCAGAGAGAAGTTTTATTGTGTGTCTCACACAATTTACATTAGTTGTGTGAGGTTCCTTTTTGTTTTACAAATTTGTGGACCCCAATCTTAGACTCCTGGGTCCACAAAAATCTGTAAAACAAAAAAGATGCCTCATACCATTAATGTCAGTTGTATGAGACATAAAATAAAATTTTCCGACAAAAGCAGGACCCACAGACACTGTAGGTTGGATGAGGTTTCTATATAAAAGAAGAAGATTTTCCCTTTAGTTTTAGGGCTTACAAATATTTGCTAAAATACCCTCCAAATGTTTTTTATTTACAGAAGTTAGGAAGGTAGGATTTGATGCTTCTGAATTTCTGATTTATGTCTGATTGGATGATACTCTGTTTCATTTGACAGAGAAAGTATAATAAGTTACGTGGGGTATTCAGAACTGTACTGTGAATGCCATTAGATATGTAATGTACCAACGTGGTACTTTTTGACAGCACAAAATAGGGGTGTTTGTCGGTCGGTACGGTACGTTATTTAGATATTTTGATTCGATATTTTCGTTATTCGGTTTCTTAAAATTCTATATCAATATCGTACCTAATTAAATTCGGTATGGTTCGGTTTTTCTCCTTTCGGTTTCGATTTATTTGGTTCGGTAACTTCGGTTTATTCGGTTTGAATACTAACTAGTGCATAGAGTCATAGACTCTAATATTCTTAATTAAAATAATCAAAAATACAAAACTGAAAATGTTTGTTGACAATAATTTTGTCCAAAACTAGCAAATATCGGCCAAAGTAGAGAAAATTGTACATAAAAGAATATTTTATCATTAGAAATGTCTTGTTCCTTGTTTAGAGTTAATTGATGAACTTAGAGAATAAGGAAAGCAAAATTTTAGATTTTTTATATTTGTGTTATAATTGATAATATATGTTTTGTGTAATATAATATATATTTCGGTACGGTATCAGTATTTCGGTATTTTATTTTAAAATACCAAATACCATACCTAATACCAATTTTTTTTTAAAACTTAAACCAAATACCATACCAAAAACCAAAATACCGTATACCAAATACCAAAATTTTCGATTTTGGTACAGTAATTCGGTATTTACCAAATTATGCACAGCCCTAGCACACACACATACTCCTTTTATTTCATTTGATGACAGTGTTTAATCGAAAAAATTAAATATTTTTAAAGTTAATTTGATTTACACAATATATTAGTAGCACTTATGAAAGAAACTATTAAAGTAATAATTGGAAAAAAGAAAACGTGACATCGACGTTGAAATGTCACCATTTAATGAATTTATATTTTAACAAGTCACGAAAGTCTTAAATAATGAGGTTATACAATTTGTTGGAGGAAGTATAGGAAATCTCATAACCTAAAAATTTAAATTAAATGATTATTAATTGTTAAAAGATGTATCTCGCAACAATGACTTTTAGTTTGTTTTGAATTCTAAAATATGTGTTCAATAACTACATTTTTCAACATTATAGGGGGTTAATAACTCGAACTTTTAGGGGTCGTTTGGTTTGGAAACAAGTTATTTCATGATTGATTATTCCAAGATTAGTTATTCTGGGATTAGTTATTCCACTTTTCCATGGGATTAAAAAATACTACAATCACGAGATAACTAATCTCGGGATTAATTATACAATGATTTTATCCCAACCAAATATGAAATAAATACTTCTTAAATTTAATTTCAAAATTAGTTATTCCTCATCTCTCGTACCATACGAGCCCTTAGGTTTAGTGTTTGAATGGAAATTTCTTGCTAACAAGTTCCAGAGGCAGTCAAAGTTCAGTCATTACTTTTGAAAAGCTCTTTGCCTTGATGGTCTTGACCTTTATTAAGTGTTTTATTCACATATTTTAGGCCATGTTTGTCCATAAAAAAGAATTCAAAAAGGTGTTTATTAATGAAAATTTGCAAGTTTTTGAAAAAATTTCGAAAATGAGTTTTTCAAAGACCATTTTTTCAAAATTTCCAGAAAACTTTTTGCCCCATTCACAAAATTGTAATATTTTTTCAAATGACCAAAAATAATTTCAAATTACAAATACCGTGTTTTAACTTAACTCCAAATAACACTTTTTTTTTCTTTTCAAAAATTACAATTTTTACGTCCAAACGCCTAATTAGTGTTTGATAATAAACAAAGAGAAATACTTGTTACTGTTGGGAAATTACCAGCTATGTCCA